TCGGAGCGCAGGGCGAGCGCCCGCCTCCGGTCGCCAGGCCTCCCTCGGGCCTCAGTGCGTCTATTCCGATTTTCACCCCCCACTCGCGCCCAGGTAACAGGAAAGTGTGTGTGTAGGGGGCGGGGAAATACCGAAACAAACAATCAACCTCCACCCCACCCACTGCCACCTCTCTTGCTCCGAAATGAATTTTGGCAAGAGATTAGCGCCTAATCTGATCTAACGCTGCTGACATTTGGGAAGGAGATGAGAATGGCAGCTCAATTTCACTCAGAAACGGGGTCACTCCTCGGGGCTTCCCTCTGCTCCCTCGAGAACGTGGATGCCCCTCCCCCTCCCCCTTAAACCAGAGGAGGCGGCATGGAGCTGGGGTGGGGGGTGGGGGTGGGGTGGCAGGGAGGCGCCAGAGCCTGCTCACCCCAAACCCAGGGCAGGGTGCCCCTGGGGCTGGACCCTGCTCTGTGTGTGCGTGGGGGCAGCTCCAAGGAAGGTGTGGGCTGGAGCTTCTGTCCACCCCTCCCCTCTTTCAGGGCCTGTGCCTGGGCAGAGGTGGGTGGTCCTGGGCCCCCGACCCAGGACTCTGTCCCCTGGAGAGCCTCTTGTAGAGAGGCCTAGAGAAGGGGAGAGTTTCAGGAGTCACCGGACAGTGAGGCCACTAAAGCTGGGTGTCCCAAGGCCTGCCCAGTGGCCTCCCCCCTGTGCTTCCTGGGTCGTGGGTGGTTGAACCCTGCAGCCTCATTTAGAGGGTCTGGCTCACTTAGAAATCATGGGTGTGCACGTGGTCTCTCCCCTGTTTGGCTCCCAGAGGCTGCCAGGTCGGACAGGTGGGAGCCAGGACTTCCCCAGGGCAGGGCCCAGACACCCACACACCCACTGCAGATGCAAGAGGTGGCCGGGCCATCTCCTTGGCCACTTAGTGGGCCCCAGTACCTGGCCTCTCCCCTCAGCTGGGACTGTTGGGGCAGTAGCCTCATCCTGGTGCCAGGCAAGAAGGAACAGGTGGAGTCATTTTGGGGGGACCGACCTGGTCCTTGGATCCTGTTCTTCAGGCAGGATTCCTTGGGGTTCAGGGCCTAGACCCAGGACCAGCCACGAGAACCTGTGCCAGGTCCCCGAGAGGGTGCCTGGGAAGGAAGAGAGCTTTGTGCCTGAATTTGGCCATGCACGTCGTTTGCATGCTGGTGGTCATGGATGCAGGAGCGGTGCCTGAATGTGCTTGCATAGACTAACTTCAAGCATGCGGATCTCATACATGGGTGCGTAGGCGTGCACACTGGCCCTTATGGGGTCTTCCTGGTGGCTGGTTGCCCTGTGACTGGGAGAGTGACATGGGAGCTGGGTTTCAGTGCACCCCACACCCCAGGCCTCTTAGGCAGAGCACAATCTGTATTCCACACCCTGGAGCTCTGGTGCGGATTCTGTGCGTTGGGTGTGATATTATTGAAGGTGCCTTTATTATTAAGAACCAGTTTTATTAGGAGAAGTCCCTACTTCCCTGGTGTGCACCTAGCTGGGGACTGTCCCCTGTCCCCTTCCCACCATGGAGGCTTTGGATGCAGCAGCCACCCCTATCTGCCACTACAAAGTAGCAAACATATGCAGAAGGCTGGGAGCGCAGGTGAGTGGGGCTGAGTAACCGAGGGTGCACGTGTGTGTGTGTGTGTGTGTGTGTGTGTGTGTGTGTGTGTGAACATTTGAGAATGAGTGACTGTGGACATTGGTTTGTGGGTGAGAGCCTGCAAGTGTGTGTGTGTGTGTGTGTGTGTGTGTGTGTGTGTGTGTGTGAGCACGGCAGGGGGCCATGCTGAGAATGTTGGTGGGGGCCATGTAGAGGGTAGAGACCCACCTGGCTTCTCTGTCCTGGCTCCCCCAGCCTCAGAGCACCCCCTTTCCCCTCGAGGTCTGCCTCCTGGAGGACTCATCCTGCCCCCTCCCTCCCTGCTGTCCTTGTCCCCCACTATCAATTATGGCAATTATGTCATCCACGAAAAACACGTGTCATCTCATACTGCAGATCACTTCAAGGGAAGGCCGCTGCTGCCTTAAGTGAGTGGTGCCCCATTGATTCAGAGGTCACTCCCCCCCACACCCCCGCTCCCCACTTGTGGGCTGGGAGCAGCACAGAGGGGACTTATTCAGCCTCAAGACCCTGGTGTGGGGTTGCTGCTGAAGCTGATGGAACGCAGCACGTTAAAGGCTCCTCTTCGCTGCCCACACCCTCCGCCCCCCTCATACCCTGCTTCCCCGCAAATTGTGAGTGTTCCCAGCTGAAAAGGAGATGTGACTGAGCATATGCTCCAGTCCCAGGAGGGTAGAGAAGTGGTTAGACCAGGGCACACATGTGTAACGTGTGTGCGGGGACCGATGACATATGTCCTCAGTTACTTTCCACCCATCAGCTCTCTGAACAGGTTCTGTCTGGGTAGGTGCAGACTTGGAAGAACAGTCTAGAGGGTCCCTTGATTCCTGGCCCCGGGGAAGGGCACAGGTAGGGCCAGGCGGCTCTGACAATGGGCATCCAGCCGGATGCTCATCTCTGAATCACCCTCCCTCCCCTGCGCCTGCGCTAGATTGCAGGCCAACCTGTGGGTGGGGGAGTGGGGAGGGGGTGAAGAGCTATTGCTCCTGCTCTGTGCCAGCGCGTTACAAGCACCGTCTCAGTTTGTCCCGCCCCCTGCCATCGACCAGGTCCTTGTCACTGCCCTCCTGCCCCTGCCCTCCGGCCTCTCCAGGGGAGGCTGACAGGGCTGATGGAGAGGGCCTGGAGAGGGGAGGCCTGTTTCCTGGCCTTCCAGGAGCTGATCTGCTCTCTCCTCCCAGTCAAAGGGATGAAGCTGGGGTGGGGGAGGCTCAGAGTAAAGAGAGAGGAAACAACATAGCCCCACCCCCACCTGTGTCCTCTCTGCCTCTCTGCTGCCCCTCTGATTGTGGTTTACCCCCAGATTCTCATATCTGTCTCCAGGGACGCGGAGAACCATCCCCTCCTCCCCAGCCCAATCTGGGCATCAGTTTCCTCATTTCCTTTCCTCTCTTTCTTCCCTTCTCTCGCTCCCTCCCTCCCTTCCTCTTTCTTCTTCCTCTTTGCAGCCGTGGCAAACTAATACAAATGATTAACTAAATCTTGTTCCATCTGTCTCTCCCAGGCATGCCCCCGGGGATCACTAATCTGAAGCAAATTGCAGACATTGTCTCTTTTCACCAGCGACAAGTTTGGGAGGCATCTCTAACAGGATTCTTTTAAAAGTTTAGCCACAGAATCATGACTCCATAATAATTCTACTCTCCGTGAGGCCATGGCAGGCCCAACTGCGAACACACGTGTCTTCCTCCCGTTTGGGCGTTTGGGGGTAATGCGAGTGCCTCCCCTTCCTTCGTGTGAACCATGGATCTCCGTGTTGCCAGAGTGGCTATAACTGCAGACCCTCGCAGGGCTCCACGGTCTCTAGGGAGGGGTTTTGCTCCCTTACCTGAGGCCTTGGTAGCTGTGGTCATGCGCCTGTCCCCCTTGGGTACCAGCACCTCTAGCCACTACTTCCCCGGCTGTCTCAGGGATACCCCTGGGAACCAGGCTCAGCAAGCAATACCCGGGGATGACATGCCCAGGATAGCTGGGGCAGAACCTGGGCAGAGCCACTGACCCATTCCAGAGACACCTCCTCGGGGGCAGCTGAGGAGGAACCCACCAGGAGGGTCAGCTCAGGACAGTCCTCCCAGTCACTCCAGGTGGACCTTAATGAGCTTCCAGAGAGCAGCCTGGTGGTGGGGGCAGGTGGGTGGGGCGGGGGAGTGCGGGGTGGGGGAGCACCTTCCTTTCCTCTGGCCCGCCAGGGTCCGGGTCTGGAAACCGCAGCCACGGGGCCACAGCCTCCCTGAGCAGAGCCGAGAAGGGCTCCCCGGCTCCCCAGGCTGCGGCTGCATCGGTAAGTAGTGTCCCGGCAAGTAATTACACCCACGGCAGCTCAGTTGCACCCTCAGCAAATTAGGTGCGGATCCGAAGGTGTAATTAAGCAGTAGCGAGTGCAATTTAGTAATTGTGAGCGCCTTTCCTCACCGGTGCAGCAGCTCCAGGCCCAAAGAGCCCGTCCGAGGCCTGTGCTGCTCCTCGACCCTCCCTGTTCTAAGTGGAGACAAACAGGTCCCTGGCAGCCACATTCGGTGTGACTTCTCAATATTGGGGAAGAGCTTTGGAGGTGTCAGCGTGCTAGACGTAATTAGCATTCTTTAGGAACGACACACACAACAAGCCTGCCATTGTTTCCTTAATTATACCTCTTCTGATATGAAACAATCCCTTGGTGTCGGTGATGTGCTGATTAATTATCCCAAACAGTTCCTTTTGAAAGTTGGGAAATGTTTCTCTTGACCTCCTTCTCCATTTCAAGGAACCAACCTCTCGAGTTTCCTCAAGAGCTGGTTACCTGTGCTGGAAGGTGGAGGGGGAAATGGATAGCTCTGGACTGCGGTGGGGCCAGCCTGGCCCTGGGCTTGAGGATGGAACGTTGTGGCCTGTGTCTGAGTTCTGGGGCCTCCAGTCAGGACATTTCCCAGTGACCCACTGAGCAGTCTTCCCACAGTCACCCCCATGGACCACCCCTCACTCTCTTCCACCCCCATTTGTGTTGGGAGCCCTCCCAGGAGCCTCTGAGACGCATGCCATGGCCGGGTACAAGGCTGGTCTGAGAGGGTCCACAGGGCTGCAGCCCCGGAAAGGCCCGGGACTTGGCCAGGTGTGTGGATGACATTGTGGGTGCCCTAGGAGGAGGGAGACCACCTCAGAGAGCTATGGATGTGTGTGTGTGTGTGTGTGTGTGAGAGAGAGAGAGAGAGAGAGTGTGTGTATAGGTGTGCATGGGTGTGTGCATATGTATGCAGGTATGTGTGTGTGTATGAATGTGCATATGGGTATACATGGGTGTGTGTATGTGTACATGGGTGTGTGTATGTGTATATGGGTGTGTGTATGTGTACATGGGTGTGTGTATGTGTATATGAGTGTGTGTATGTGTGTTGGGAAAATGGAGCCAGGGTGGGGAGTTTTTCTGTTGGGGTTTCCTTTTAAGTTCCTGGTCTCAGTCTTTGCTCACAAGGTCCTAAAATGCCTCCCTTAAATCCTTTTTGCCCTTGTAGGGCCACCTCCAGGCCCTCCACCTCCAGGAAGACCACCCAGATTTCCCAGCCAGCTCTCTGGGGCCTTTTCCCATACAGCACCTGCCATCATTTGCTTAGCCTGTTGCCCAAGTAGCTGCCTTTCTCTAAGCAGGTAAATCCAGTCTCTCCAACGGGCTCTGAGAAAGCACGTGGCAGCGACCCATCCTGGTCACTGCTTGGTGCCTGGGTCTGGCTGGAGCTGCTCACTCTTCCCTGCCTTCCCTCTCCTGCTCTCATAGCACCACCTTGTTGTGTCTCTCCTTCCCTTTTGCCCATCTCTGGGTGTCTCTGTCTGTCTTTCCTGTTTCCTTACAAAATACTTGAGTTGGCCCACAGGGAACATAATTAAATTTAATTAATGATACTTGTGAGGTATAAACAAATTGTAATCTATATATATATAAAAGCCTAACTGACCAACTGTAAGTCCATCTGATTGTCCGACTGACCAACCAGCCGGTACATATGAAGCGCACTGGCAATTTAAAGATAAATTTTGACTCATGCATGCATGATACACATCCTCGATGGAGATTTTCACACCTATTTGAGTGATGATTCCATCGATTCAATGGATGATGCCGAAAAGGAAAATTTTCCCATTGAATTTCTTAATAGTATTACTCCTTTGGGAATGCCGTGTCATAAATTAAAAGTGAAAGTAGGTGCAATCATCATACTACTGAGAAATCTTAATAGTAAATGGCATCTTTGAAATGGCACTAGATTTATTATCTAAAGATTGTGACCTAACATAATCGAAGCTGAAATATTAACAGGATCTGTGGAAGGAGAGGTTGTTCAGATTCCAAGAATTGATTTGTCCCTGTCAGACTATTTAATTAATTCAAAGACAGTTTCCCATGATGCCAGCATTTGCGATGACTATTAATAAATCACAAGGACACACTCTAGACAGAGTAGGAATATTCCTACCTGAACCTGTTTTCGGACACGGTCAGTTATATGTTGCTTTCTCTCGAGTTCGTAGAGCGTGTGACACGTTAAAGTTTTAAATACTTCATCACAATGGAAATTGGTCAAGTGCTCTGAAAATGTTTTACTCTTAATGTGTTTACAGGGAGATATTAGAGCAGTGGTTCTCAACCTTCTGGCCCTTTAAATACAGTTCCTCATGTTGTGACCCAACCATAAAATTATTTTCGTTGGTACTTCATAACTGTCATGTTGCTACTGTTATGAATCATAATGTAAATATCTGATATGCAGGATGGTCTTAGGTGACCCCTGTGAAAGGGTCGTTCGACCGCCAAAGGGGTCGCGACCCACAGGTTGAGAACCACTGTATTAGAGTAAGTTTAATCAATTTATCAGTCACTGTTTTTATCAATGTTGTTTTTACTAGTATATCATGTCTTTGTTGTTGTTATATCATATTGTTATTGTTTGTTTATTAATCAATTTATATATTATTTTTATATACATTTTACTAATTTTTTTCATCTCTGTCACTTCTATTATAGAGAAAGGGCGAATAGAGATATTAAACTATTTCTTCTAATTAATTTCCTTTCAATGTGCACGAATCCATGCACCACACCACTAGTGTAAAAATAAGACAGCAAAAAATCAATACCAGGGAAACCATAAATTAAGAGGCAAGCTGGGCAGGAGGAGGTTGATTTAGAGTGTGGTTATGTTATATGATCCTGTTAAGGCTTCTGTTCGCAGTGTCAGTGCTAGGTGCAGGGCTTAGAACTTCATGCACACGATTTCATGTCACCCTCTTAAGAGCAACCCCAGTGATGGGGCCTCTCCTACTCCCATTCAGAGTCTTGCCCTAGGTCACATAGCCAGTACATGACTGAGCTCAGATTTGAGCTGAGGTGTCATCTGGCTTCAGGCAGCCCATCCACAGCCTGGCAGCCTGTACCAAGGAGTGACAGGCTCGGCCTAGAGAGGAGGGGGAGCTCACTGGGGCAACAGCATTCAGGGATGGTTTTGGGGGAGCAGGATGCTGGGAAGGATGGAGAGGGGAGTCACCTGGACTGACCCAGGAACATCAGGGGGTGGATGATAGGTGATGGGGGGGCATAATGGAGGGCAGGGGCAAGGTCAGGCAGTAGATCTAGGTTCTCAGAAGGAGGGAGGGGGGAGAGTAAGAAACCCAGGCAGAGGGTCCTCAGCAGTGAGACCCCACCCGGCTTCCGGCCTCGTGGCCCAGGCAGCCCTGACCGCAGGAAGCGGAGCCCCTCAGCCCCGCCCCCTCCCTCCAGGGCCAGAGGCCTCTTTCAGGAGAGGAAAAACAGCCTTGTCTTGGGGCGCACACCTGGGGCGTTGGGTTTCAGGAGCACTCGATAACATGCTCAGGGCAGTCCCCTGGGGAGGGGGCTGTGCACCCCTCTCTGCCCGTATCCAGTCCCCACTGCTGGCTGCCCACCAAAAAGCTACTTACTTTCCTGAAAGCAAGCGAGTACACAGTACACCTGTGCGGTGTCGGGGCGCCGGGCGAACAATCGGCAGCTGAATGGAGTAACTGCACTGAGCCCAGGATGGTGGGAGGGAGAGGTGGGGTGTGTGTGTGTGTGGGGGGGGGTGCATCCAGGAAGAAAGAAGAGAAAGTGTCTTGTCTCAAGGGGCCAGCTGAAAGGCAGGGTTTACACGGTAGAAACAGGATCGCTTCACCCCCCTGTCTTGGAAAATCTCTCTGTGAGGCGGGTTTGGAAACCGTAGCTGAGATGAATGACGTGGGCCGGAGGGGAAGTGGCCGGGAGAGAAAGGGCTCAGACCCTGGTGATCACATGTGGTCAGTCTTACGGACCCTCACTCACTCCAGCCTCTGGAGAACCCAGTTCACTTAGTGAGAGGAATCCAGTTTCCTCCCCTGCTCCCAGGTGCCTGTCTGCTTAAAGTGGCCACTCACTCAGCCGTGTGCCTGGGCAAGTCTCTGGGCCTTCTCCGCTGCTTCATCTTTAAATGAAGGCCCTCGTCAAACTTACGACAGGGAGTGGCCACGGAAATGAAATGGGCCGGCGGCGTGCAGGGAGGGCTCAGTGAGTATTAGCTGCTATAATGGGTATGCTGGCCGCTTGGGGAGCAAAAGGCTGCCATTGCATTCTCAAGAGTTCACCTTTCTCTGGCCTGGGCCCTGCGGCCAGAGAGAGTCCATTTAGGGGGCGGGATGAGCCCGGGGTTATTGAGCCAGGAGACCCTGGTTCCAGGCCCAGCGCCTCCTCTGATGGCTGTGTGACCTGGTAAGTCCCTTTCCCTGTCTGGGCTTCAGTTTTCTCACCTGGGGAGGCAGCGGGGGAAGGAGTTGGACCAAAAGATCTTCTCAGCCTGATGGGTCTGGGATGTTCCCCGAACACCACCTGTAGAGAGGCCCTCAGAGGCCGGCCTGGCAGGGGGGATCTGATAGGAAAGATTTCAATGGGAAAAGCAATTGGAAAATCATTCCTCTTAGCATAACAGACCCCTGATGAGTCTTCACCCATCCCACACATTTTGTTTCAGGTTGGGTGGGGCTGGCTCATTGTCATGCCCCGAACAGGCGGAACCTGTGTACACACATACAGAGTACGCTCCCAGTGAGCATGGGGACACACACACATACACACACACATACACACATAACACCCACACAGAGCTGCTCCCATGATCCCTGTGGAAACCACACCCTGCCCCCACCCAGGTGTGGTGTGGTTGGTGGTTTCAGAACGCCTGGGCCCTGGATGACCCTAGGTTGCCCACAGCGACTCTAGGCGGCCAGAGAGAGCAAAGAAAAATCCTGGATGCCCAGGTCAATTAGCAAAAGATCCCAATGGCTGGATTTTTGTAACTTGTTGACAAAAACAGAATATTAGGCTTTCAGGACACCCTGCCAGACCATACAGGATGCAAGACATATTCAGCAAATACAGGATGTGTCTTATGTATACAGGATGCTGGCAACCCTCTCCTACGGGCCCCCAAGTCTGCAATGAGTTGGACTGGAACTATGGAAAACTTCCTGGCTTGGAAACAAGCCGTCCCTCTGGAATGCTCTCAGGCCAGGGGTGGGGGGAAAAGGGAGAAAGTAAAGGACGAGGTCCAGGCAGGGCTCAAGGCTTTGTTGGGGGAGAGCTGATCCCCCTTCCTCCTCGCTGACCAATGCCCAGTGAGCATTGAGTGCTTCTTGTTCCCTTGGAGCTGCTGACAGGCGGGGTGGGGAGGGAAGCAAGCCACACACAGCCATGAGTGAGCAAGGCAAGCTTCTGGTAAGTGCGAGTCATGTGGCTGGGTCTTCCAGTGTGTGGTGACTTTCACAGAGAAGGGTGTGGTGGTCAGGGAGGGCTTCCTGCAAGAGGTGTGGTTCAGGCTTTGGTCCCGGCTTGCTCCTGGTGCAGCGTGTCCAGTTCAGCGCCCTGTGCTTGGAGGCAGGCCTCCCAGGAGTGTGCTCTCAGTGAGTGACCCCGGGTATGCGCTCAGGACAGAGGCTCCTGGGCGGAAGAAGAAGCGAGTGTCCATGGCCAGAGTGTGGAGGAGCTGGGGAACCTCAGATCTTCATCTGCTCTGGACCTCCTCAGTCCAGCGAGAGAAGACAGGTCGGACCCGGGGTTTGCCATCCCATGGCCCTGGCCGGGAGGCTGTCATGCGGAGAAGCGGAGAGCCTGCCCCTTTGCCCCTTTCTGCCCACAGGGACTCCAGGCGCCACTGTGGGCTCCCTCCTGCCGCACAGGGACAGGGAAGACCCTCTCCTATCGCAGGGATTCCATCTGGGTTTTATTCTCGTGTGCAGCAGTGACAAATGTTACTGAAAAACAAAACAAAACAGAAAGAGGCGAGACAGCATGCCTCCTCCCTGAGCGAATGTTCCATCGCCTGGGTCCCTGCGGCCTGACTGGTGGAGCTGACATGCCGGCTCATTAGCGCGGGTGCCTAACTGAGAGCAGCGTGCATGTGCATCGGGGGTCACAAAGGGGCTTCTGCATCAGCGAGAATCTGGCGGGCAGGGCTGCCCCCCACCAGGCTCCCCTTCTGCTCAGTGGAGGCCCAGCTGGGCTCCATGTCCCCTTCTCCAGGGAGAAGGTCATTTCAGGATCCTGGAGTTCAGCCATGGGCCACCCTCGCCCTTCCACCTCCCAGGTCAAGACCCTGGATGGTCTGAATGGAAGCGATCTCAGTCAGTTCTACTCCAAACTGTGGGGAAACCGAGGCCCAGGGAGTGGAGGGGTTTGCTCCAAGTCACCCAGCATGCCCAGGACCTTCTCATATACTCCTCCCAACAGCTCCAGGAGGTGGGCTGTGGGTGTGGTGCTTGCCACCACTTTACAGATAATAACCCAGGGCTCTGAGAAGTCTACAGACTCGCTCAAGGCCACGCTGACTAATAAATGTTGGCAGAGCAGAACTGAAGCCCTGCGGGCTCTACAGCCCAGTCGACTACACATATTGATCTGTTTCGGGCAGATGGGGCATTGCGAACATTCCCGGGTGCGTAATAAATCGAAAGCTGGGTTAGAAGCCATGTGCCTGGATTTATCCTTTTTAACAAAATGTACACATTTTTATTGATTTTTTAGAGAGAGAAAGGGAGGGAGGGGGAGAGAGCGAAACACGGATGAGAGAGAAGCATCAATTGGCAGTCTCCTGCACACCCCCTGTTGGGGATCGAGTTGGCAACCTGGGAATGTGCCTTGATGGGGAATTGAACCCACGGCCTCTTGGTGCATGGGTTGACACTCAGCCACTGAGCCACACTGACCAGGCTGGATTTAGCTTTTTAATTTAGACATATAGACCTTAAAAGTTCTGTCACCTTATATCCAACATTTAAAAAACCCTTCCCCTTTTGGTTTTTAGTAGTAGGTGAAAACCAGGAGGTTGGAGGAGAGAGGGGAAATGACCTGTTAAATGAGAGTCAGTCCCTCCCTGGCCTATTCATTCTCTCCCCAGCCTTCCCTAAACCCAACTCCTTCACAGCCCAGGTGACTACGGAGAGGTAGGCAGAGTAATACTTCAGCCCACGGTGTTTCAGGTCCACAGCTTCCTTAGTCAAGATGACAGAGGTATTTATTGCAGGAAATCCCTGGCAAGGATGGTCTCTGCTCCTCAGAGAGACAGCAATAAAGGCAGACTTTCGCCCGGAGCAGTGGACTTTGAGGCTGGTCTGCGAGCATCCGACCAGGCAGCGTTCACATTCCTGCCGGAGATGGAATCTGCTCTCCTCACGTGGAAGTTGTGGACGGTTCCTACCCCGTCGGACCAGGAGGTTTATACCTGTGACTTCGCTTGGGATCGGCTGACCTCTCAGCTCCGGATTTGTCTAGACTTTCGGGGAAGATCAACCTGCCATCGCAGGACACACCCACCTCCTGTGCACCCACGCCCACGCTTTGTGAAGTCCCATCGTGCTTTTCCTCCACGGCACTGCTAAAACGTGAGTGGCCTGGACGAATGTTTTCAAAGCTGGCCTGCTGGGGGATTTGTTAAAAACACAGATTTCCAGGCCCCCTCCCGGTCTGATTCAGTAGGTGGGCGGGAGGGTGGTGTTCAGAAACTCTAGTTTTAACAGGACCACAGGTAATTCTTAAGCTTGGGTCCATTGGGCGGGTGTGGCTCAGCGTTTCTCTAACCGGAGCAGGTGTCTGAACCCGCTGGAGGGCTTGTTAAGTGCATTTCCAACGCCCTCCCAGGTGATGCGATTGCTGCGGGCAGGGGGACGCTACTTGGAGCCACTGGTGTGGACAGACCTCAGAGCCAGGCTTCCTCGCCCTAAGCCTCACTGTCATCCTCTGTGATGTGGGGTCGGCCATAATGTCGATCTCTTACAGGTTGTTATGAGGATTAACTGAGTTAATATTTGAAAAGCATTGGCAGCAGGGCCTGGCACATGGTCAATTGGTACGTCGTGCTTGTTAAATAGATAAAATGAGACGCCAGCCGAGGAGATAGGTAGCCTTTCATTCATGCACTCAGTGAGGACTTCACACACCTACCCTGTGCTGGAACCACAGGTGGGAGACCGTGCAGGGGTGCAGGAGGCAGACCCAGGCCCTACTCACTCTGTGGGGAAGAGTGGCGAAGGCCCGTGCATTCTTCAGGCATGTCATTCTGGGGAGCCCATTGAGCTCCCCAGACCTTAAAGACACAGTGAGATGATCACCATCAGGACCCTGTCCTCCTGGCCTTGCACCCTGGACTTTGCCTTCACAGACCCACCCTGAGTGTCAATCACACATCCATTTGTGTAGTGGTTTAGCTGCTGCCTCCTCGTGGATGAGAATCTGTGACTGGTCCCTACTGGGTCCCCAGCTGGTTCAGACACCTGGCACATTGTAGCTATTCATTGAATGTGCTGAATGGATGGAGGATAGATGGATGATGGACAGGTAGACATAGAGGGAGCCTGGGCCACTCCCTAGCCTCTCCTGGGTGGCCACAGTGTTTCCTGACACACTTTCCTACCTCGATTCCTGCCCCTTCAACCTGTGTCGCCAGTGGCAGCTGCAGGGATGGTTCCAAAACCCAGGTCCCTTCTGCTCACTCCCCTGCTTCAAACCTCTCCCATGGCACTCTCTTTTAATAATTTCTTCTGTAGACCATGTATAGATCACACTTTATGATTTATGAATTAATCCGGGTCTCCATTTACAAATAACCATAGCCACGTGGATGCCAATCGGAATCATTGATTAGCAGGAGATAAGAAGCTAACAACGTTTTGGCTTAAATCTGTGGTTCTCAACCTTCTGGCCCTTTAAACACAGTTCCTCATGTTGTGACCCAACCATAAAATTATCTTCATTGCTACTTCATAACTGTAATGTCGCTACTGTTATGAATCGTAATGTAAATATCTGATATGCAGGATGGTCTTAGACGACCCCTGTGAAAGGGTCGTTCGACCGCCAAAGGGGTTGCGACCCACAGGTTGAGAACCGATGGCTTAGATGTTACTGAACTATGCAGATTTACTTTGGGTGAACATATGCTTCCTGCTAAGCTTCTAGAATTGCTGAAAATAGCTCACAGATACCCCATTCCTACTAATGCCTATTCAGAGTCTCAGGAGTCAGGGATGGCTGATGGAGAAACCACGCGATTAGGGGGGAAATGCAAACGTCTTTGTCTGGAGTGTAAGGCTCACACACATGGCCTGATCCTTCCTTTCGGCTTAATGCTCTGCGGCTGCATCTTGACCTTCTTTGAATAAGGTGCCCTGTGTGTGGTCATGTGGTCATTTTGCATCGAGCCCTGAAAACGATGCAGTTGATTCTGGGGGGAGCACCTTTGTCTGACACACTCGTGTGTCTCGCACCGCGCCCAGCGCTATACAAATGCAGCCCGAACCCCGTTGCACAGGCCTGCGCTGTGCATGGTTGGCCTGAAGCTGGAAGTGGGCAGTGGGGGGAGGTGTGTATGGATTACCGAGGAAGAGATCTCGTGTCTAGGTTTCTGCCAAAAGGCAAGAAAAAATCCACTATTAACTGGGATCTCAGTCAGAGAGTTATTCTTCTCAACTATAGGACAGGGAGACATTTTCCACTCCTTCCTGCACCAGAGACCAACCCCAGAAACAAATACAGAGAACCAGACATCTGGCCATAAAACCTTGAAAACAGAGAGAAGCCATCCCCTTGGGTAATAAGTAATTAACAGCAGGTATTTCACTAAAAGGATTGGAGGGATGCAAAGCTTCCTCAGCAAAGCAATTGACGGAGAACTGGCACGCACCGGATTCTGAACAAGCGCACAGGCAGTGACTATTAATGTTCTGGAGTCCCATGGGCCCCGTGGGCCAGGTGAGCTCTCATCTGTACGGGCGGGAGCTGACCAGGAAAACAGAAACCGTCTCATTTGAGGGAACTTGTCACATAGGTGACGTGGAGGAGCCCAGAAGACCGAGGTCAGTGAAGTCACTCAGAGATTAGTCAGGGCAGAAAGCCACTCCCACTGGAAGTTGGAGACGAAAAGGGAAGGGGGAGTGTTATGGGAGCCCCCAGTGACCTGGGATCAGGAAGGCCTGGCCCATGAAAGCTGGAGCTACGCATGAGCCCATGCCGCTGCTGGAGGGGACACCCCCAGGCAGAGAGGCAGGAGGAGAAATGCCCGGGCTTCTCCCCGCTCCCTTTAGTCTCTCACCAGTGCCTCCCACTGGCTACATCTGGAAATTGCAGCCTGTTGTTCCAATCTTTTGCTTGTGTTTTCCCCACCCTCATTGGGTTGTCTGTCTTCTGAGTTGTAAAATTCTTTATTTTATTTTATTTTATTTAATATTTTTTTTTATTGAGTTCAGAGAGGAAGAAGAGGGAGAGAGAAATAGAAACATCGATGATGAGAGGGAGTCATTGATTGGCTGCCTCCTGCACACCTGGGGATTGAGCCTGTAACCCAAGCATGTGCCCTTGACCTGAATCGAACCCAGAACCATTCAGTCTGCAGGCTGATGCTCTATCCACTGAGCCAAATCAGCTAGGGCAAAGTTCTTTATTTTAGACACATATTTTTAGTGGTCCATATGTATTGTGAATCTGATAGTTTGTTGCTTGCGTGTTCTTTCCTTGTAGTGTCTTTTGAAGAGAAGACTTTTTTAAACTTGATGAAATTCTATTTTTTCTTTAGAAAATTTATAACTTTAGCTTTTCTGTCCAGGCGTATGATCCATTTTAAGCTGTGTGTGTGTGTGTGTGTGTGTGTGTGCATAGTGTGACCTCTAGGTCAAGATTTATTTATTTTTTTCCTATATGGATATCTACTCATTTCAGCACTGTTTGTTGGAAAGACTATTCTTAACATCTTTGTGAAAGTCAACTGACCATTATGTGTGGGTCTACCTTTGGACTCCATATGTCTATTCTTACTCTCATACCACACTGTTTTAATTATTGTAGTTTTCTGTAGCGTTCTAGTAAGTTTTGAAATCAAGTAATGCAATTCCTCCAGCTTTTTTCTCCATGTTCAAAATTCTTTTGATGATTCTAAGTCCTTTAAATTTCCATATAAATTTTAATCATCGGCATGTCAATTTCTACAAATATATCTGTTTTATTGCATTAAACCTATAGATTAATTTGGGATGACTTAACATTGTAACAATAGTGAGTCTTTCAGCCTGTGAACATGGTACATTCCTCAATTTATTTTATTTTTTGGAAGTTATTAATTTCTCTCAGCAATATTTTATAGGTTTCAGTATAGAGGTCTTACACATATTAAAACCTTTATTCTTAAGAATTCTCTGGTTCTTTTTGATGCTATTGCAAATTAAATTATTTTTATTTTTTTAATTTGTTATTGTTTAAAGTATTACATATGTCTTCTTTTTCCCCGATTGACCTCTCCCCAGCCACCCCCACCCCCCGGCACATGCCCTCTAAATTATTTTTAAATGTAATTTTCCATTTCCTGCTAATATCATTGATTTTTGTATATTAACTTTGTATCTTGTGATTCTGAGAAATGATTTATTAGTTTTCATAATTGTTTCATTGATTTATTAAGATTTTCTACCTAAGCAACAATGTTATCTGCAAATAGATGCCATTTTGCTTTCTTTCTTATGCCTTTACTTCTTTATATTACAAGGGGTCCCCATGGAGATTTTTGGGGAACTTTTCCCACATGGGTCCCTCTTTTCTAGTATTGTACTCCCCTAATTTCAGCTATTTTCGCTTCTCTGAACTCCAGTCTTTTGCTTCTTATCTCAGCAAGTTCACCAGTTCCACTTGGGCTCCTTTTCTCTGTGTCCCAGTATAAAAGTGCCCCCATTCCCCCAGGAAAATGCTGGATTTATGGGAGGATTTATCATTTGTATTTTCTTTCTTTCAGGGATCAGAGTCCTACATTCCCTTCCTTTAAATGTCATACAATAATTGTTTCAATCCACCTTTTAATTGTTTATGAAGGGAGGACTAGTTTTTCTATTATAGTCATTGGTGGAAATATCCTCTTTATTAAAACATCTGTATAATATTCCATTGTGCATTGTGCCATAATTTATTTAACCAGTTCTCTCTTGATAGGCACTTATGCAGTTTTCAATCTTTCCTTTTGTAAGCAATGTTGTAGTATGTCATCATACCTAATTAATTTCACATATGTCTGAGTATATCTGTAGAATAAATTCCTAAAAGCGTCAATCAGTGTCATATCATTTTTAATATATGCATATATTTTTTTACCTTTGAAACTTGGTAGACATCTTCACATGCTCGCACATGTGAAGATGTAAATTTCCTATTTACATTTTCACCAACAACGTAAGAGCATGCCTCTTTCCTATTCTTCTGGCAACTTTTTGACCTTTATATATTTGGTGGGTCATCTTCATCAGGGTCTTTTCATATTTTTAAAAGTCACTAGCGGTTCCTTTTCTGTGAAATGTTTATTCACAACATTTGCTCTACTTTTTACAATAAATAATCACACGAAGGCCCAGCCGGGGTGGCTCAGTGGTTGAGTGACCTATGAACCAGGGGGTCACGGTTTGGTTCTGGGTCAGGGCATACGCCCTGGTTGCCTGCTTAGTCTTCAGTGTGGGGTGTGCAGGAGACAGTTGATCAATGATGCTCTCTCATCATTGCTGTTTCTATCTCCCTCTCCCTCTCCCTTTCCTCTCTGAAATTATATATATATATTAAAAAATTATACAAAGAACATAGAAATAAGTATAAATAATGAGAGAGTTGGAGTGGCTCTTTTAGGTCTCAACAGGTTCTCAAACTTTAAAGGAAAACCACTCTAGTGCCAGGCAAATAAAAAGACAAAAACCAATAAACTCTAGAAGATACAAATGGATCTTGACATTCAGAGCAGAGCGTTAAATCAAGGAAGTTGAAGTGCAGCAAAGATAAGTGTAAAGTTTAGTGTTTGGGTTCATCCAGATGCAGCCACCTAACGAGAGAGCAAGGGAGTGTGGCTTATTAATATGTGTGAAACAGACCTCGTGGTCTGAAAGGAAGTGCAGCATGAGCCGAGTGTCTGGGAGGAAACACTGCTCCAGTTTCTAACTGTGAGGACAGCAATGCTGTTGCTGGGAAGGGGGGTATGGTGCTCTGGGCTGGTGTGAGTAGAAGTGGAAACCTCTGCCCAGAAGACAGATCACATTGCTAAAGGGACTTGAAACCAGGTCATGAGAGAGGGATGGAGAGAGCTGGGGATGCCTGACAGGCGGACGAGAAGGCTCAGGGCCCATGAATCAAGTCCTCAGATTAAGGAAGATGTAGCCTATGGCAGGGAAAGCCGACAGGTTCTGCCTGTTTCAAAGGAGGAGATCAAAGATGCACTAGTAAAGTAAGCAGGGAGATACATTTCACTATAAGTAAGGACTTTCCAATTGAATGGTCCAAAGATGATAAATGCTTCCCCATAGAGTGGTGAGTTCTCTGTCATCAGAGGTATTCAAGTATAGGCTACATCTCTTCCACTGGAAAGGGAATCAAGTATCTTGTGGCTGGATGGATTGGATGGCCTGCAAGATCTCTTACAATTCTGGTATTCTCTGATCTTACACCCGTTGTTCTGATGAAGAAAATCAGGCTCTAATACAGGGGCGGGGAACGCCCAGCCCACAAAATCCTTCGGTCTGGCCCTGCCAAGGCAATTGGGGTGAGTTAATTAAATGTGTGACCAAATAGAGCGGGCTAATTTTTAGTTGATAATTTTGCGTGGCCCGTGAATGATGTTATAAATATCCAAATGGCCCTTGGCAGAAAAAAGGTTCCCCACCCCTGCTCTAATAGAATGATGTGCTGGGGGTTCCAGGACTGAAAAGTGGTCAAGTCAGGTCCAGAACCCAGGTTTTGAAAGTCAATGGGGAGTTTACTCAAATCCATCCCCATCTCTGTAGCCTTGGACAAGGCTAAGCAAGACAGCCTTGCGAAGTTCAGCATGGATATACCTGAAACGGAAATCTGGGGGAACTGAGTTCTAATTCTGCTTCCACCGTCCTCACTGTGCAAGTCATTTCGTCTTTCTCACCCGTCGTCCCTTACGTACCAAACACTGATGCTCTCCAGTGGTGCCATCTCTGCTCCAGCAGCCAGGAGGGGCTTCTCGGTCCTCAAAACTGCACTTTATCGTCCGTACCTAGTGTTGTCTCCTCTTCCCTGTGATCTCCCTGTGTGTGCTCTCTGTGGACAAGGACCGTGCCTTGTGGTGGCTTGCATGCCTGAAGCTCTTGTGCAGTCCCTGCCCCTCAACAGGTGCGCCCTTAAAAACGTCTTGTGTTCTAACATCCCCTTGACCTCAATTCCTGGGGCCCGGGGAAGCTCCATGAGCAAACGAGGGGGATCTCCTTTACACATGTTAGGAGAAGGTAATAAATCAATAAAGGTGTTCATCAAGATAAAAAGAAGATCAGAGCATCTGCGTTGCCCAGGTGGTTGAAATCAGCATGTTTCCTGAGGAAGTTTTGCCCAGTCACCTCAAAAGTGTTCTGTTTCAACTGTTAGAGGGGGTTTAATGATAAAAATATGCCCTGGACACGAGTCTCTGTCAGATATGGAGCTCAGCCAATGGCCCTGTTTTCAGCCCTGACTGTAAGACGCTGGCTTTGAATAGCAGAAATGATGAGAAGTGTCGAAATAGGCAAAATCGGACACGTCTGCTCTGACGTAGGTAGCTCCATGACCTCAGGGCTTTCTTCTCTGTGGGAAGGTGAACCTTATCCCCATGCAATCTTTCTAGCTTTGTCGACCTCATCCGGGTGCCATCTGCTGTGGACCTGAGCGTAGAGAAGCTCCAGGGAAAGTGCTGGTCACCAGGAGGGACAAGGCTGGCTGACCTGATTGCTACCTCCAGCTTTCAAGTGATAAAGGGGTGCAGGTAAGGAGGGGTGGGGTGGGATGCTGCAGTAGATTGAAAAATTGAATGCAATTCTTCACTTCCACCTGGGATTACTCTACATGGCTGCCCTTGGAATTTGGGCTTCGTCAGGGGACTTGCTTTGGCCAATGGGATGCTTGCAGATGGGATGCAAGAGAGAATTGAATTGTGAATGTGCAGTTGGGTTTTTTTTTCTCACTCTCGCTCTCGCTCTCTGCTATTGCTCTGAGAAGTGTGTGCCCTACATAGCCACTGCCCTTTCAGTCTAAATCCCAGAAGGTGACACGGGAGAGAGCAACCCCAGCTGAGTCACAGACCTGCAAGCAAGAAAAATGCGTCTTGGCTATACGTCGCTGATGTTTTGAGGTTTTTGTCATGCAGTACTATGTGTCAATAGCTGACTAAGACAGAGGTGAAAGCTGATGTGTGCGTGGGAGGGCTCATGTTGGTAGAAAGTTCCAGTTTCTGTCTCAGTATTCCAGCGGGGCCTGACAGCTCTCAGCTAGCTGCTGCTTCATCTCCCTGACTCCCCCATGGTCGGTCTTCAGTGCTCTCCTTCCCAGAGGAGGCTGTGGAATGTGGGCTCAGTCAAGTCTGTTCTGAATTACCTAGTGTGATAATTGTTGCAGCAATGCCCCTAATCCATCTCGCTCCTTCTGTGTCAGTGCGCTTGTGTGGTCCCTTCTCAGAATGACTCTAGGCGTGGCTGTGTGACTTGGCCAGAAGTCGTTAGCGGTTGGGATGCAAGCAGAATCTTAAGAAATGCATATGCACTGAGCTTTATCTTTTAAAAAAATATATGTTTATTGATTTCAGAGAGGAAGGGAGAGGGAGAGAGAAACAATGATGAGAAAGAATCATTGAGCAGCTGCCTCCTGCATGCCTCCTACGGGGATTGAGCCTGTTGCAAGCTGGGCATGTGCCCTTGACTGGAATCGAACCCGGGACCCTTCAGTCCGCTTAGCCAAACCAGCTAGGGCTGGGCTTGGGTCCTCTAGTGGAAATTGGCATTTTGTGGAGAAGTCAGACTAGCCTTTTTGGGGATGAGGCCATGTGGAGAGAAGTCCCAGTCATCCCAGAGTCTCAGATATGAGTGAGGACGCCCTAGACCAGCGGTTCTCAACCTGTGGGTCGCGAACAATGAAAATACATCCCGCATATCTGATATTTACATTATGATTCATAACAGTAGCAAAATGACAGTTATGAAGTAGCAACGAAAATAATTTTATGGTTGGGGGTCACCACAACATGAGGAACTGTATTAAAGGGTCGCGGCATTAGGAAGGAGCAGCTGAGTCACCCAGAGCAGAAGAACTGCCGGCCAACCCACAGAATCATGACGGCTAGTACATGATTGCTGCACCCCACTGCATTTTGGGGTGGTTGGTTATGCATCAAAGCTGACTGATGCACCTAGGCCAAAGGCAGTTTGAAACATCAGTGAGGCATCATTCACACATGCGTACCTTTTGAACATTTACTATGTTCTAGACATTGTGCTCCAGGCTGGGCTTGAGATTCTGAGGTAGGAGATGAGTTCTATTTTTCAAATGCAGGACCCAAAGGCAGATGGCATCAGAGGGGCTTTGTCTAAAGTGCAGTCAAGATGGGTCATCTTGGCAAAGAAGAGCATGCCAAGGAAACATGGATTACAATGAGGGCAGAGGCCTGAGCTACAAGTCCGAGTGAGGCTGTGAGAACAGTAACAGGTGAACAGGACAGAAGGGCCTAGGACATGATGGCGAACCTATGACACGTGTGTCAGAGGTAACACGCGATCTCATTTTTTGGTTGATTTTTCTTTGTTAAATGCCATTTAAATATATCAAATAAATATCAAAAATATAAGTCTTTGTTTTACCCTGGTTGCAAATATCACAAAATGTCTATGTGTGATACGGCACCAGAGTTGTTAGGGTTTTTCAAAATGCTGACATGCCGAACTCAATAGGTTAGCCATCACTGGCCTAGAACGTGAGAGGTGCCTGCTCTAGACAGGAAACTCTTTTTTTAAAAAGAATAAAATATATTTTTATTGATTTCAGAGAGAAAAGGAAAGGGAGAGACAGATAGAAACATCAATGATGAGAAAGAATCATTGATCGGCTTCCTCCTGCACACACCCTACTGGGGATCCAGTCTGCAACCTGGGCATGTGCCCTTGACTGGAATTGAACCTGGGACCCTTCAGTCTGCCGGCCGACGCTCTATCCACTGAGCCACACCAGCTAGGGCTAGACAGGAAACTCTTGCTCCTTAACCAGAATAGCAAGATAATGAGTATAACCCTGGACAGGGTAGGGGGTCTTGCTACAGAGGGATCTGGGGTAGAGGACGGAGGCCATCTGTCCTTTTGTCCAAGTCAACACGATGCAGGAGAAAAGTGTGCCATGGAGATCACCCCACACTCCGGGAAGGCAGGTGCATTCAAAACACAGCAGATGAGTGGTGGGAATAGGGATTCTGCCTCTACCCTCAACACAGAGTCCTGGAAGGACCAGGTCTTCAGAATCAAGCAGACCTGGTTGTGATTCCTGGTACAGCCGCTCCCAAGTTGCGTGGCCTCCTCATCTATACAAGCCTCTCCAAGCCTCAGTTTCTTCATCTGTACAATGGGGATATCAATACTGACCTAGCATGGTTTCGTGCAACTTACATGAGGGGCGGCCTGAATGCCTGGCATGGGCAGACAGTCAAGGCATGGTCGCATTTTCATCTCTCCCTGCTTGTAAAGACACGATCCAGCCCGATGCTTCTCTCTTTCCCAGTTCTTCTGCCCTTGTCTGCATGTGAGCCATGTTCACAGAGCTTACGTTCTCTGCAATGGTGAAGCTGGGAAATTGGGCAGGCAAGCTCTGCAAACCTGTTATTTCTCTGTAGATTGTGTGTGTGTGTGTGTGTGTGTGTGTGCGCGCGCGCGCACGCGCATGTAATAAGAGATTGGGTGGCCAAAACCGGTTTGGCTCAGTGGATAGAGCATCGGCCTGCGGACTGAAAGGGCCCGGGTTCGATTCCGGTCAAGGGCATGTACCTGGGGTGCGGGCGGGTGGAGGAGAGTTTAACTTCCCCAATTCTAACCACAAACATACTGTAGGTACGATGACCTCCGCCTCCTCTTTGTATCCTGAATGGTTTATTTTAAGGTCTGCTATAAAAGCGAGACGTAGCTTAATTGTCTTGCTGTGAAATATGTAAAGTAGTACACTATTGGGGCTCATTAGCTCGAGCAGAGCTGCTGTTTAGTAGTCCGTAAGGTGATACTTGTTAATGAACGCTGCAAATGATTCTCCTAACTACCTAAAGAGTAATAATAGATATGTCAGCTTGAACAAACAAGCCCCCAGTCCCCGGGGGGCGTGGAGATGCTGGATCATAATTGGATGGAGGGACAGAGCAGACACTTGTGCTTTTGGGGACCTGCTCTCCCACCCCCGCTTCCAGGTGTGCAGAGCTGGAGCCCCTTCGGTCTGCATCCTTGTTCGGGTGAAGGACCCTCCGCTGGCTCATGATGGACGTGGTCACCAGGTGTTACTGAGGCAAAGTTCCATCCCCCGGATGTGGGGCAGTCGGCGGCCTTTCGGCAGAGTGGTGTTTTCAGTGGCTCTCAGTCCCTGGAGGGGAAAGTGAAGCTCATTATCATCATCCACTCTGTGGCTCTGAGTCTGAAACGCTCTGAGAGGAGGCGTGAGGGGAGGGGCCGTGTTCTTGGGCACCGGGGTGTTAAGAGCCATTCGGTTCTTGGAAAAGAACATGGCAGTTTCTCAAAGGTTAAACAAAACGATCGTGGGTCCAGCAGTTCCACTTCTGGGTATGCATCCCAACGAATTGAAAACAGGGACTCAACAAGAAGCATCTCTCCATTGGTTTAGGTCTTCTTCTTTTTTTTTTTTTTTAAAAAAATATATTTTATTGATTTTTTACAGAGAGGAAGGGAGAGAGATAGAGAGTTAGAAACATCGATGGGAGAGAAACATCGATCAGCTGCCTCCTGCACATCTC